CCAGCTAACAATGTGGCAGGCTCCGGGGAAACCAGCAAGGAAGGTGGAAGAAGCCAGGGATGGCTGGCCAGTGGGGAGGAGGCCAGCAGCTTCTCCCCCCCTCCGCAGCGCATCTGTCGGCGGGCTGCCCCGACCCCAGATCTTTGACAGGGTGAAGGATGGCACTCCAGCAAATGAGTGACCCCTTGCATCTGTCTGCTGTCCTCCACCCTCCAGCCCCCCTCCGACTCCTGCTTCCAGTCACTTCCCGGAAGGACAGGGCAGGCTTTTCCTGTGGGGGGCTCTTGGAACCAATGCCCAGGGGCCTCTGGAACGTCGGGAGTCCCCGGCTTCCCTGCCCCCCGGTCTCCCATCTATACTTCAGCTGCTGCAGCTCCAGGAACAAGGAAGAAGAGGATCTGCCAAGCAAGGACAAAGCTGCACCCAGGACCATCTGGCTGGGGGAACCTTAACCAAGCCCCGGCCACCAGACCAAGCAGGCAGGTCCCTGACACCTCGGAAGGATTCCACAGCTTCCCTGTCTATCTGGCACCCCATAACTCAGCCTTAGAAAGAGTTTTCTTTGGGTCTAAATTAGCTCCACGTTACAATTAAAACCAACCCCACTTGGGAAATGGCTTATTGTCCTTCTCTTTTACTGATCTTAATAGGTTTTAGGAGCATGGAGTCCAAGCCTCCTGCCTCTAACTGGCCCTACCCGGAACCTTCCTTAGTTCCTGCAGGCCACACAGTGCGCATCGCAGCATCCTGCCTCTTGGGGCAGGCCAGGTAAGCCTCGGGGCTAAAGCCACACCAGCTCCGGCCACTCCCACGGCCTACCCCCCACCAGGAGAAGCCGTGGGCTCCCTGCAGACCCTCAGACACATGCCTCTTTGTCCATGGAGTTTCCGAGAGAGCTGGCTGCTTCTTCGGGAGGCTTCGCAAGTAACAGCTGGTGAATCCTCATTCCTGCTGAGGGCCCCTCTGCTTGGATCCTCAGCTGGCAAGATGCCATCTGCTGGGGCTGGCCCTAGAGGCAGGAGGATAGATGAGATGACCTCCAGACAGCCCTGCCACTTGCCAGACTCCAGGCTACATGCAGCCTGGCCCCGGCCTTGGCTCTAACCTGACCCTTTCCTGCCCCCAGGCCTGACAACTCTGCCTCTGCCCCGCCTTTCCCAGCCCACAAGCAGCCCAGAGGCCAGGCAGGACGACCCCTGCTCCCTGCCCTTCAAGCAAAGCAAGTCCCCAGAGGCCAGCCCAGCTGTACACACCGTGCCCCTGCTTGCGTTCCCTGAAAGCAGTCCTCCTTTTGTTAATTCTGCAATTTCCCCAAGTGCCGGGAGCCTCTCATTTGACAGTCACTACATCTGTTCCTGTCACTCTCCAGAAGGTCAGGTGGGAGCCGTGCCAGCCCCTTCCCTGAGGCTCACGCTCCTTCCGTCAGCTTGAGCACCCTGCTCACCTGGTCCCCTGGGAACACCTCCAGGTCCTCTCTGTGTCCCTGGCCCCCCGCAGCCTCAGTAACCATCTCCCCTTCCAGGACCAAACTCACCTGCCTAAGTAGATGAGCACAGTCCCGTGCCTCGGGGGACTTCAGGGAAGGAAGCTAGTCCTCCCTTTGGGGGCCCTAACAGGTATAGGAGCTTCAGGGGGCCAAGGAAAGGGAAGCCCCTTGCTTGGTCCTTCTCATTGTCACTGCCCCCGCCCCCCCCAAACACACACACACCCTGTACACGCAGTCTTTGGGCTGCTCATCTACAGGGCAGTGGACGTTCTGGCTGGTTCCTTAGCCCAGAAGGCCTAGTAGGAATCTGCCATGCCCACATCCTGAGCTTCCACGTAGAGATCCCCAGCCTCGTTACTGCTGACATTTGGGGCTGGGTAATCCCTAGGGGTGGGGGCTGCCCTGTGCATTATAGGATGTTTAGCGGCATCCCTGACCTCCCCCTAGATGTTTTGCTAGCACACATTCCGCCCCACTCGCACCCTTCGTGAGAACCAAAAATGTCCCCAGACACTGCCAGAGGTCCCCTGGTTGAGAACCACTGAGCTAAGGCAAGAAGGAAACCCAAAACCTGAGCGTCAGTGACTGACGCCTCCACCAGGCTCCAGGCAACTGAGGGATGGCTTCGCTAGGGTTTGGCAAGCCTCCTCTGTAAAGGTCCAGATAGTAAATATTTTCAGCTTTGGAAGCCACACGGCCCCCGGTGTGGCATGAAGGCGGCCAGACCATACATAAGTGAACAAGCATGGCTGTGTTCCAATACATCTTTATTTATGAACGTTGAAATTTGAATTTCATATTATTTTCATGTGAAATAGTCTCCTCTTTAGTTTTTTCAACCATTTAAAAACGTCAAATGCATTCATTCTCAGCACATGGACCGTGTTCCTGGCTTCAAGGATCTCAGAGGAATCAAAACACTGAGGTTCCTGCTGACCTGCCCCTACAAAATGAACAAAGTCAGGCGCAGAGGCTGACCGTGTGAATGGGGCCCTGGTCCTCCGAGGAGGGGGAGGGAGCCAGTCACCCCCAGTCCCTTTGGCCCAGTAACTCCAGGTACCGTTTTCAGTGGGGCAGCCCCACTAAGCTCAGCAGGACCGACTACATAATTCACAGTGCCTGATGCAAAATGAGAATGCAAGGCTCTTCTTCAAAAATTATTAATAATTCCAAGACAGCAGCAGAAGAGCATGAACCAACAGGGACATTCTGAGCACAGAGCCCGTGCAACCACACACACTGCACAGCCACCGAGGCGGCCCCAGACCTCAGTCTTCTCCCGGGAAGGTCTGCACCCACCTGGCAGCCTCCGCCAGGCAGAGGACCGGCCCATCAGGCAGGCTCTCCGACCCTGGGGGCAGCTTCTCCCACAGGCCCTCAGGCTGGGCCAGCACGTAGGACTGTGCCCTGTACCGTGACATCCGGCCGAGGTGGTGACTGGGGGCTTCAAACTAGCTCACGCTCCCCTTGCACGCCGTGCGCCCCCAGGGCTGTGCTGCCTCCATTCAAAGGAGCTTGCACTAAATGGGCTGGTGCTTGCCCTGCCTCTGGGACACCCGGGATTGGGAGAGAAGGAGTCAGCTGCGCCCCAACATGGGCTCCTCCACCCCCATCCTGAACCGCAGAGGAATGGATGCCCCACTCATCAGTTCATTTAACAAGCATATAGTGCACACTGGACACTCTGCCGAAAGCGCAAAGCTAGGAGATCCAGGGTGGAAACAGCCACCCGGGACAGATCCGGGAGAGGTGTGCCCACAAAGGGACAGCGCCGCCGAGGGCCTAAGAGGGAGTCGGTGACCACTGGGCCAATTTTTGAGAGCACGGAGGACTTGGGCAGGTATACCCAAGGGAGAAAGATGACTGTTCCAAACCAGGAACAGCATGAAGAGGGTGAAATGAGAGAGTCTAGCGCCTTCCAGAAAGGGCAGGTAGGTCAGCATGGCAGGAGTGAGCTGGGTGAGGCAAGGCTAGAGACAAGGGCAGAGCTAAAGAGGGGGCAGACCCGATGATCTCCTGTGTCATAGGACGGAGCCCGTCACCAACCTGGAGGCAGGAGAAGCTGAGGAATTTTTAGCAGGAGAGTGACAGGCTCTGATTTGCATTTTAGAGAGCTCACTCTGGCTGCAGTCTGGAGGGGGGCTAGGAGGCTAAGACTAGAAATGAAGGTTGGCGAGGTGGTCAGAATTCAGATGAAGCCCGTGAGGGTCGGAGCCAAGACTGTGGGGCACGCATAGGAGAGGCTCTGAGGGGCATGAGCTGCAGGGCTGAGTGGTCGGCAGGACACGGGGGTGGAGGGGAGGATGGGAAGGTCTGGAGGGTGCCATTCATGGGGGCAGGGAACCCAAGAGGAGCAGCAGGTAGATGGCGGAGGTGTATCAGCCAGGGTTCTCCGGAGAAACAGAACAGGTAGGATATGTGTATGTGTGTGTCTAGTACACGGGTGTCCTATATATGAGTGTGTATACATAGACAGACGCATAGATGTGATTCATTTCAAGGAATTGACTTATCCAATTGTGGGGGCCGGCTCTGTCTTCCATAGCCGAGCAGGAAGGCTGGAAACTCAGGCAAGTGCTGAAGCTGTAGTTTGAGGGCAGAATTTCTTCTTCCTCAGGAAAACCTCAGTTGCGCTTTTAAGACCCTTCAACTGATTGGATGAGGCCCACCCCAATTATGGAGGGTAATCTCTTTATTTTTTTAAATAATATTTTCTTTTTTTAAAAAAAAGATTTTATTTATTTATTTGAGAGAGGGAGAGAGAGTGCAAGTGGGGGGAGGGGCAGAGGGAGAGGGAGAAGCAGACTCCCCGCTGAGCAGGGAGCCTGACATGGGGCTCCATCCCAGGACCCTGAGATCATGACCTGAGCGAAGGCAGATGCTTAACCAACTGAGCCACCCAGGTGCTCTGAGGGTAATCTCTTTAAAGTCAACTGATCGTAGATGTTAACCAGATCTACAAAATACCTTCACAGCAATCCCTAGATCAGTGTTTGATTAAATTACTATAGCCTAGCCAAGTTGACACGTGAAACTGACCATCAAGGGGAATGAGGTAGGGGGTTGGGATGTGAGAGGCCCACAGGCATTCAAGTGAAGACTTCCGGCTGGCCAGTGCAGGTTGAAGCCCCAAGGATCCTTCTACGTGCTCATCACCTCTCCTCTGCCCATGCCTGACTAGCTGGCCTCCCTGCCTCCAGGTCTGCATCTGCTCTGTGCATTCTACCCTCCCCACCACCCCAAAGTGGACTTCCAAAGTACATGTCTCAGCCTGCCTCTTGCTTGCTCAGACCCCTCCAGTAGCTCCCGACTGCTCTTGGATAAAGCCCCTTAGGGCTCATGAGGCTCTTCATGGACTGGACTGGCCTACCCCTCCAGCCTCCTTCCTTCCTTGAAACTTCAAGTGCAGACGTGATGACTCCTCGCTCTCTAAGCTCTCCACATTCTGCAGCTGTCTTTGCACAAGCTCTTAGGGCTTCCTGGAGCCCCACCCGCCCCTACCTCCTCCCAGCCCATGCCGCCTCTACCTGGTGAGTTCAGAGACTTCCTTCAGGACTCAAGTTAAATATTTTCTCTGTTTCTGATCCTCACTAGGCCAAGGCAGCTACGCCTCCATGATATTTTGTGCAAACTTGGGTGACAGCTCTTACTGGATTGTGTTTTGATTATTTGTACATATCATCCCACCATTATACCGTGAGCCTCTCAAGAGGATGCATCATATCTTATTGTCCTCCATATCCCCAGCATTTGGTATAGTGCTCAATACAAAGGTACTCAATATTTGCTTGTTAAGTGGATGGATGGATGATGGATGGATGGATGGATGGATGGGAAGACGGATGGATGGATGGATGCATGGATGGATGGATGGATGAATGGATATAATTTTCTAATAATTTCTGGCTATCACAGTGGAATGCTTCCTTTGTTCCAGGCACTGTACTAGGAGCTTTAAGTTCTGAATCAATCCAGATTCTTGGTTGCAGGCAACGGTTGCAGACTTTGGCCATCATAAGCAGAAAAGAACTTCAACTATCACGTGGATCACAGAATCAATGGCTAAAGAAGACGACTCAGAAATGGGCAGAAACCGAGGGAGACTAGCCATCAGAGACTCACTGAGGTCACATCTCAGGAACAGCCCGATCAGGACACCATCGTTGGCATCGCCCACACTGGACACTTCCTATGAGGGTGCCAGAACCTTCCACCGCCCCCTCTCCTGCTGTCCAACACATGTACACGTCACTTCATCTGATCCACACAACCCTTTAAGGCAGACAGTCTCGCCTCCATTTTACAGATGAGAAAACTGAGGCTTAGAGAAGCCTAAGGTCACACGACAAATCAGTAGAGTAGGTGGAACTGAAATCAATATTTGTCTGACTCCAAAGCCCATTGGCTTCCACTCTGCTGTGCACGGTCTCCTTCCAGGGGTTACAAGTCACTGGTCTTACGTAAACACAGCTCCCTGGGGAGCACACCAGCACACCACAGCCGCAAAATTCTAATGTACCATCTTTTGCATAACTATAGATTTGGGTTATGTTTTTGGCCCTAACAAATTATGGTGGGGAACATAAAGATAGCAAAGTCAGCACAAGTAGGCTGAACAATTAGAGGGAGAGTCTGTGCGCTGACATGGGTTGACTGAAGCTGCTTTTAAGAGGTTAGGCATCAGATATCCAGGGATCCTGGAAAACTGGGGTCTGGTCTGAGACTCTGGGAGGCCTGTAGAGCCTGGTCGAGGGCCCCCAGTGTCCTCACCTGCCCCAGCTCCCATGTTCCATGGCTGCCCATTAGCCACCCTAGGCAGGCGTCATAAACCATACTCAGTGGCCACTTCTCTGCAGCCCAGCCCATGTCCAAAGTCACAGCTGCCCCCAACCAGGGACAGTTTGGTCTTGCCAGGACCAAAAGATGCCCCACCAGGTGTGTCCTTCTCAGACCCCGATGCCCCAGAGGACTTGAGGGCAGAGCTCCAGGCAGGGATCCCAAGCACCCAATCCTAGTCCTGGCTCCACCTCCCCCGCTCTGTGACCTTGGCTCAGTCATCTGACCTCTCTGTGCTTCACCCTCCCCATGACTCAGTCTCTCTCCACTGCCCCTGCCCCCACCCCGCCCCCCACATTGGCCATATTGTTCCATTAAAAAAAAGAACTCAGGGTTCCTTGAGCTCTTTGGAGGGACCACATAAATGCAGGGCATTATTAGCATCATTACTATTAAATATTAATAAGGACATTAGCATTGTCTATTATAAGCCTGAAAAAGAAGCTCCAAGAGCCCTGGGTCGAAATGGCTAAAAGAGTAATTAGGCCCCTCCAGGCCACAGACCCCTTCTGGCCCTCAAGCAAAATTAGGAAGGCAAGTGTAGATAGACTAGTGAGCTTTCCCTTCCAGCTCCACCTGCTCAGTTCCACTGGGCTCCTCCCGGCCTCATGCAAATCACGTTCTTTCCAATCCCCAACACCCCCCTGCCAGGAATGCACTCCTCACTTCCTCTGTCTACCCAGGCCCCATCCCAGAGGCACACACCCCCATCTACCAAACCCTTCACCCCTCCCAGCACCCTCTCTCCCCCACATCTGAATTTCTGGCAGTTATTCTGCACTCCCAGCCTACAAGTATTTACTGAGCCTGCACCAGGCACCGTGCTCAGCAGGAGGGTGGGGGGGCGAATGGAGACATTCAGGAGATAAGCCCTACCTTTAGATACCACACAATTGAGGGAACAATGATCAGTATTTTGCATGGTTCTTGGCAACACAAAAAGCACTTTTAAAAAGTCATTGTGTTTAGGGGCACCTGGGTGACTCAGTCAGTTAAGCCGCCAACTCTTGATTTCGGCTCTGGTCATGATCTTGGGGTCCTGGGATTGAGCCCTGCATCAGGCTCTGAGCTCAGCTAGGAGTAGGTCTGAGGATTTTTCTCCCCCTCCTCCCCCCCGCCAATAAATAAATAAATCTTTCAAAAAAAATCATTGTGGGGGCGCCTGGGTGGCTCAGTCGTTAAGCGACTGCCTTCGGCTCAGGTCATGATCCTGGGGTCCTGGGATGGAGCCCCGCATCGGGCTCCCTGCTCAGTGGGAAGCCTGCTTCTCCCTCTCCTTCTGCCCCTCTCCCCTGCTCGTGCTCTCTCTCTCTCTCAAAATAAATAAAATCTTTTAAAAAATTTAAAAATCATTGTGTTTAATCCACATGTCTTCACAACTATCCTAAGTAGGAATAGGATTATTCCCATTTTACTAATGAAGAAGTGGATTCTCAGAGCAATTAAGTATCCTTCAGCGATCTGCCCAGTGTCACCGGCTAAGAGTGACAGAGCTGAGACACAGTCCAGTTGTCTTGACTGCAAATCCAGAGCCACCCCAACCACTGCGGCAGAGAAAGACTCAGCCTCATAGGTGTACACCCTTGTGATTCAGGTGGGGAAGGTGAGTCCCCAAGAGGCCCAAAGGGAAGTACTGGCGTTTATTGAGCACCTACTATGGGCTTGGCACCATGCTAGATACTTCATGCGTGATTCAATGCTCACGTCAATTCAGGGAAATTTGAGTCTTGATCCCCATTTTTCCAGGTGAGGAACCTGGGGCTCGAGGTGGGAAGCGGCTTGCCGTGATCACAGGGCTCAAAGTCGCAGGACTGCTCGTCAAGCTGGTCTGGTTGCAGAGCTTTGTCCGAACTGCCTTGTCCCCCTCCCCCAAAGCTGGGTACAGTCAAGTCTGCTACCACTAACCGACTGCTTCCCGGAAAGTTACAGGCACATTGAAGACAGACCACAGCCTCTGGCTCTTGAACCGCCACTCCTATAGGCAGAGATGCTGCTCCATAAACACGTGGTCTCCCGGGAGCTCTAGGAAAGGATCCGAAGTCTGAAACCAGAGGTAAAGATGCCGGTGGCTGGAGAGGCCAAGTCAACCTAAGTGAGGTTTGGACTGATGAAGAAAGAGACCTGAAGACGATCAGTCCCCGCTTCCTCCCCATTTGTCCTTGGGGCTGGGCTCTGAGCCCGGCCTTCCTCGACCATTTAGAGATGCACTGGACTCCACTATTGATCTGGTGGAGCTGTAAAGCGAAGGAGCAGATGGTCTAGGAAGGGTTGGGTGGCCCTCAAGATGCCTTCTGGGGGCACCCCCTCCAGGGGCCACCACATGTTTACAGGCAAATTAGTGACTCATTTGATGAGCCACCTGATCGTCCTCGACTGGCCCTGCTCTGCGCCGTCTGGGGGCCTGTGGGGACTCGACTCGGGGATACGGTGCCCTACTCTGGGCTACACAGAGACATATTGATTAGCCACAGAGGGGAGAGGTGCCCCCTAAGTCAACCAGTGAGGATTCCGGGATCTGGCAGATGCTAAAAGAGAGGAAATTGTCCTGTCCCCAACTTTGACCCCTGCCCCCACCAGAAGGGCAGTCGCTGGTGACTGGAGGACACGGCATAGTGATTAAAGCACGGATGGGATGCTGGGAGCAGACCAGCAACCTCTGCTTCTCCGATTGTTCACTGTTTCCTTTGAGCAAGTTCCTTAACCTCTGCGGGCATCGTGCGTGAAATGAGAACAATGATAATGACACTTACCCTTCGGGGGGATAAGTCAGAAGAAGCACTCAGCACAGCTCCTGGCCCATTGGAGACACTTGAATTATTGTTAATAATGTATATAATGATTAATAATAATACTATGAAATACTTTTGTTATTACCAGACAAATTGACCCCACAGGCAAAACTCAGCCTGGACCCCCAAACGTCTACCCCATTCTCTCCTCAGGAGCAGGAGCACCTTAGAAGCTGGCAGTGAGAATCCCCAGGAACCCCCCAAATCCATCAGGACCAGGCTCAGCTGATGAAACAGGCAAGAAGATGAAACTTTGGGAATTGTCTCCCCCCATCTAGATCTCAGCTTCGTAAGTACTCTTGCTTGTAAGTACTCAGTAAGCGCTCTCGCTGTGGCTGCAAAGCCCCCTTGGGACGGGGCAGGCAGGTGGCAGAGGAATCAGAGAATCTGAGACTCAAGTCACCAGGCTGATCTGATCCGGAGGGAACTGTGTCCTTTCCAAGCACCCAGCCCTCACAGCAAGGGCAGCAGCTGTCCTAAAATAGAGTCACAAAGACAGCTGTCTCAATCGAAAGCAATCCTTGCAAGCATTTCCAGACCCTCGGCCCCTGAGTCAGCCCATCCCCTGGCCCATCAGCCCCGCAGCCACAGATGCACCATCTCTTCTCTTGGCAGCCGGTTTCTGCTTGGAGAGAACTTGAGGCCCTCCCTTCAGAGCCCGAGTTGACCTGCATGGCATCAGAGGGCAAGGCTCACCTCAGATGCTCAGGGCTGACATGCCGGCCCTAGGGAGACAGACAGACAGACAGACAGACAAGGACAGTGTGGGCAGAGGCAGGAAAGGGAAGGACATCCTGGAAGGGATGAACAGCACAAGTTCCCTGAGAAGCGTCATCAGCACGATCAGATGTCTCTCCGTCAGGAACAAAGAAGACCCTGAGCTGGGAGAGCCCCTCGGAGCGGAG